CCTTTTTTTTCTGATGACAAAGATGACATGGGCCATTCTTGCTGAGTTGTCATTGGAATGGGAAACAAACTTGCTTTGTGGACCCTTGACATTGAGAAGTGTAGACTGCAAAGCAAGAGGTGAGTATGGAGAATTCATGACGTGTTTTCGATGGGCGCAGGACTCACAGCAGGATAGAATTGTTGAGTGTGTGCATGAATGGATGAATAGATTGATGCTGCATGGCCATAGATACTTGAACTCTATTTCCACTGTGGAGTCTCTCAGGGCATACACATAATTCTTGGAGAAAATACATAGAGTACAGGAGCATTATCAGAAAGCAGGGTATTCCCCTCCAACCCACGCTGAGTGGTGAATTGATGATGCCAGGTCTCTCTAAGACGACGGGCACTTCTAATTAGACTCCTGCCTCCCGACTCCAGATGTGGTTAGAGATGATTGCTTCCCCCAGAAAGAGGCATAATCTATCTCAGAATATGCTGTCAACTACCAAAGCTGCTTTTTGTGGGCAACTTGACTTTTTATCAGTGCAATAATGGCTTGTTTCTCCTCACCTTGGCATGTGCCTGTGTCCGGGGAGGGGCGGTGAGGGGGAAGGGAAGGTGGCAGTGTAAGGAGGGGCCAGAGAACTCCTCTTCTTTCCTGAAAGCCAACCTACTTCTCTCCACCCCCGTTTCCCTCTGTCTTAACAGTTCTAGGATCCCCAATGCGCCCCTGCATCAGTGTTGCTAAAGGTACATCAAACCGTTATCTTTGTGTGCCCCCTAGAATCCATCAGGTAGAGGTAGGATTATGGCAAGAGTTTCCAAAGCTTCAGTGAGGGTGGGGGCAGGGTAAAGAGGCAGAGAGGATGACAATAAGTGGGGGCTCAAGGGAAGTCTGTGGGTGTGCACTGTGCACCCAGGTCTGAAAGGCAAGGGTTAGAGCACACACTGGGGCCTCTCGGGACGGAGACTGCCACGTCAGACACGCACTGCCACACTATGCCGGCTTGATCCATGCCCAGGAACGTTTCTCCGGATCTTAGAGAAAACCCTTCCAAGACACTTTTGGCCTAAGTGGCAGCTTCCTCTTCAGCCAAAAATAAATGAGGAGCAGCCAGAGGGCAGACAAGGAAACAGGGCAGGGGAGGAAATGAGAGGTTGAGAAGGATAACATGTAAGGGTGAAACAAGACCTGCATCAGTTTCCTGTTTCAGAAAACGTGGTGTTCCTTCTGGGGCAAGACAAGACTCTTAGGTATGGCTGAGGGAAAGAAGTGAGAGATGAGACACAGCAAGACAAGACGCCTACAGATTGGAGCAGTGAGGAGAGGAAAGAGGCTGAACAGAGGGAAATGAGTCTAATTTCCAAGGGAGCATTAGGCCCGCCTGTTGGCTCAGTCTTCTGGGTATGGACACTTTTGCAAGACCAGCCGTTTGAGATTGATTTCAGAGGAAGTGAGCCATTGAAGACCCAGCAGTACCCTTAGCAAGCTCATCCTTCCATCCTCTTATGTCATAACATTCTCTGATGCTTGCAGTTCCAACACAAGTGCTGGAGAAAGATTTCAGAATCCACACAAATGTTTTCCTGGTTGACTGTTCCATGAGATGCCCTACCCAATGAATGAATGAATGAATGAATGAATGAATGAATGAATGAAATACTGAATGAACGATTCAATGGTCAAGTGAGACTAGGGATGCTGCATTTTAATCTTCGGCAAAGGAGATTAGGGGATGCTGCGAATCAGTCTCCTTTCGGAGAATTACATATCAAGTTAACAAAGAACAGGACCTGAGAAGTCCTGTGCTAAAGGAATTTGTTTAACGTGTCATTTTTTAAACTTACCCGACTGAGGACAGGCCTGCTAAACTTAGAGTCCACAACACTGTGGACTATTTAAATAGTGCCCCTGGATTAAACAATTTATGTGGCCAGATAGGGTGATCCTTGCCATGGACTCTTTTCCCCTCTAAGTAACACCTATTAACATCGTGAGAGATTCTGCATTCTGTGGGGCGCAGCTTGGGAAACACTGGGTGAGGGCAATGCCTTGCTTATCGTGAGATTGCAAATGTCGCTACTTTCGCAGCATCATCGGGGCTAAAATCTGAGTGGGGTTGATTTGTGCCAGCGCATCCATACTGATCAGTCCTGTTGGGACCCACAAAATCCTTCAGCAAGACGGTGTCCCGAGTCAGAGAGGCAGCCCATGGCCACAGAGAGTGGGCGAGGTTAGCGCTGCAGGAGAATACTGTCCGCAGCCACAGTTTTCTTAGTTCAGTACTTTAAGGTGCTATTTGTTTTTCGTTATTGTTGTTTGTTTGTTTTTTGTTTTTTGTTTTTTGTTTAAATCTCAGTCAATTCCAGCATAGGCAGCTGGTGGTGGAAATACTCCACGGTCCTTTTAAGTTTTTAAAAGTGACTGCTAAGCCATATTGAGCATGTGTAATAAAGAACGCTTGGATGAAAATACGTGTCTTAGAACTGCCAAAGGTCTGAAATGATTCTGTGGACCTGTTTCCCATCTCTTAAGTAGCGAATATCCTGTATATCTTTAGAGGATTTTTTAGATTCTAAAACAGCAGTTCCCAAGTTTGTTGCACATAAGAATCAGGCTTTTATTTCTGATGCTATGTTGCATCCCGTTCCAATTAAATCACAATATTGTGGGTGGGAGTCAGGCATTTGAATTTTTGAAAGATCCCCAGTAATTCCAATGTGCAGCTGAGTTGAGGGATTGCTGGTTTAGAAGCACTTTTAGCTACGGACATTTAACTATAAAGGCCAAGCCTCTGACAGAGACGCAGGACAGGAATTCATCCTTGCCCTCATCTTGTTCAATAACAGAAGCCCTGAACATCCTCACGATCAAGGTCACACATTTGTGCCAGGTTCCGGGCAAGTGTCACTTCTTTGAATTTATTTAGGTCAAACCCAGCCTGTCAGACTAGATTCTGGAAATGGTGGGACAAGAGACTGGCTGAGGGGGAAGCTGGGGTTGAAAGCCCAGTGCATTGAACGTGGCCTTTGTGCCTGCAGAAGAAACAAGAAACCGCGTCAATGCAACGCCTCCTGCCTCTCTGTCAATGCTGTTTCTGTCCACAGACTGCTGGTCTGCATTTCACTGACAGAGACAAAGTGGAACCTTTGTGCCAAGCTGAAGGAAATTATAAAAGCCCACAGCTTGTCTTTGGACTTAATGTCAACTATTTGTCTCCTTTTATTTTCAAACAAACAAGTCCCCACGTGAGTGTCGAGGCTGTCTCAAGCACACACTCCCCTGGTTTTCTCGTTGCCTCGTTCCGGCACCAGCAGGTAGGAGAAAAAATGGCTACTTTTTAGAATTGTCCCATCAGTGACAGGCTGTTTTAGCATCCAGTGACATCAGGTGAGAGGCTTTGAGCAACACGGTGGCTTACACAGTTGCAGGCTTATGTTGAAACAGTTTACTAATAACTGGACTTCTCCCAGCCTTCTGAGTTCATTAACTAGAAACTTAGAAGCAAGGGTGAAAGGAATTATCCAAAATTCCCAAAATACCACCAACCCAAAACACTTTTTTTTTTCACCGTCTGGCATGACTGAGTAGCTTTCTTGTCCATGTGGGGCGGAATACGAACACACTCCTAACAGCTCTGCAACACGGAAGATAAGTCAAGTATCCTCTTTCACTGTAGCTAGACAGGTGTGGGCGGGGTGACGCCGGGCGACATGCTCCAGGTGACTGGGAACTTGGATGGGTGGCCTGGAATCCTGAGATCCCACGGTAGATCTTAGAAGGAGAAGATGTTTCCACTTCCAATTTTTTTTTATTATTATGGACAATTCTCTTAAGGTTAGAGGATTTTGTGAGCTCTATTTCTTCCCTAGCCTCAGCAGAATGACACTGTGAGTGCTCCTAAAAATGTCTTGTCATGAAAGAGTGCCCCGAGACAACAACAGGGACCCTGTAAGGGCTGGATCAGAGTAGGTTTGACAGAAACTCACATTTTTTTGAGTATGAATTAATCTCTAAGATGCTAGCTTTTGTTATGTGTGTTATAATCCAATGCTGACACTTGTGAATAATTTAGTTATAAATACAGTGGAATTTAAGGTTGTCTCTGTCCCTAACACACTCACTTGCATCGCATGAAGTTTCTTTGAGTAGAAGAAAAAAGGTGTGGAAAACCGGGGAGTTGCTAATGTCAGGGGAGTGTTTCACTCATGAGCAAGTCCGCTGAGGGGAAGCTTTGGAATCATGTCTCAGTCCCAAGTAGGGCTATTCGGACCCACTGCATTACCTGGGACTTGGTTAGAAAGCACATTCCCACCCCCCAGCACAGACCTCCGGAGTCAGGCTCGGTGGCCGGGGCGCCCTCTGGGTTCTAACACCTTCTCAGTAATTCAGTGCTCCCTGGTGTGAGGAGCATCTTCCGAGAGATGCTTCTCACAGTGGGGTCTCCTGGCCAGTATCATCCGCATCACCTGGGAACTTGCTGAAAACCACCTGAGACACATTGGCAGGTGATACCCGAAATGCTCCTTGGCACTTTCCAATGTTCAAAGGCCACAGAGATGGCAAAACTGAACATATAAAATACACAATTCTTGCATAAAAATTCTCAGATGTGCCCTTTCTGGAAAGGAACTGAAAAGACCTCCTCAATCTGTTTCCTACCGTTAGGGAATTAATGATAAAACCTTATGAATCTTCCGTGTTTCCTCCCCACTTTGGTCTGGTACACTGGCTGCTGAGTCCGCCGCTCTGGAGGGGGCCCCGGCAGCTGGAGGGGGCCCAGGGGTCTGCGCTGTAACAGGCCCCAAGGCAGATGCACCCTCACAGCGGAGGGCTGTGAGGCTACTGTTTCCCTCCAACCGCCGGCTGCTCAGCCATGCAGAGATGAAGACGTGCCTGCACCCGCCCGGGCCTGGGGCCCCTGAGGCTGACCCCGGTGGCCGCCGGTCTCTGCCAGCGCAGGGCCGAGACGGACAGCCTGGAGGGCAGGAGCTTGGCCCACGTGCAGCGACATGACCACTGTTGGACTCCGGGAGAGAAGACGGCATGGTTTGGACGTGGAGACCTTTCTTTCCTAACTTTTTCCATGCTCCAGCCTCCGCGCGGCCTCCAGGCCTGCCCAGCACCCAGGCCTGAACTTCAGTTCAGAGACCGGGGTCCCGAGCAGGGGCCCCAAGGCCGGCGGGATCTCCTGGGCTCGCTGGCGGAGCCATCTCCTGCCCCAAGCCAAGTGGGTCCTCCTCTGTGAGGGCGGGCTCACGGCGCCCCCGGCAGAGGCTCTTTCACTTGGGATCCCAGGATGGACGCTAAACGCTTTCTCTTCCCGCCACGTTGGGGTGGCTCCTATCTAATGGGTATATTTTCCCAAAGGTATTTGCACCCTTGATGTGAAGAACTCTCTAAAAACGAACAAGGGGACTGATGTAAGAAAGGTGAAGACAGACGAAGGTACGGCTTGGGGCCTTAGCAAGAGGGCCTGTGCCGTGGGGCTGGCTGAAGTCAGAGGATCTGGGGCGGGAGGACAAAGGGAGGGCGCAGAGGCCGGCCCCTCCCCTGACACTGGTCGATAGGATAGAGCGAGCCGGGACGTGAGAGAGGGCGCTGCTCGTTTTGTCCCAGGCAGCTTCAGCTCTGCCTCTGCCAGACGTGAGCCAGTGCCCTGCCCTTCAAGGTGTGTGGGATCTGCCCTTGCTCTGAGGAGACAGAGGGGAAGAGTCCGGTCTGTGGCTGGAAGCTCTGATGTGCATTTTCTAGTGAGAGGCGCCCTCTCACATCCTGTCTTCCTGGGACAGGGTATACGCTTGAGGGGGCTGGGACCTTCCACAGCCCGCCCTTTCCCGCCAGGCCTGCCCCCAGGTGAGCTCCAGCGGCCAAGCACCGTGAGGCAGCCTGGGGACAACTGTGTAGTCTGCGCCTTCCCTTGATTATCCTTCCTGGCAGTGCCTTCCACTGACCTCAGGTTGCAGATGGCAAGATGAATCTTTTTACTCTGCTGCCTCCCAACATCCTATTGAGATGAGCAAAGGAACATGAAATCAAGAGAAGCATGCACAACTAGAGAAAAAGGGAATGTAAAATGTAAAGGAGAGGAATTTCGAGGCATTTTCTGCTACGCAGAACAAAGTTATAAAAGGAAGAAGGAAGCCTGCCCTGCCCATGAATTAGTATCTGCATAGAAACAGGCTGTTTGGTAAACTCAAGGGTAGAATTTCTAGTCAAGTCCCCCTATTCCCGAACACCCAAAAACTTATGGCTAGCAGCTGCAGTAAAAACTTACGGCGTTTTGAGCCCTTTAGAATTGAGTTCAAACCTACTGTTTGCTAGTTGTGCAAGCTAGTCAGCCTTGGTCCCATCTTTTGTTAAATGGAGATAATACTCATTCTAAGGTGTAACAAGGGTTAAATAAAGCAGTGCAGGCAAGGAGACATAGCCAAAATGTTCATAGTTACCACTTACTGATTACTGTATGCCAGGTGCTGTCCCAAAAGCTTTATATAAATTATTTCCTTTAATCCACAAGGAAGCCCTATGAAGTTGATCTTATTTTGATTACCATTCTACATATGAGACAACTAAGGTTTAGAAGGGTTAAGATACTTGCTCAAGGTTCACAGCTGTTAAAGTGCGTAGAGAAGGAATTTGAACTCAGGCAGCCTAAAGGTAAAGCCTATGTGTTCAAACTCTGAGCTGCACTGGCCCAAGCCCTTCAAATATATTCCTTCATTTAATCCTTACAATAGCCTTATGGTAACCATTTTTATTGGTGAAAAATAGAACTTCAGAGCTAAACAATTTGACGTTATATAAAGATCTGAAACCAAGCCTGCTTGATTGCAAGTTCCCTACTGTTTCCTGTCATGCTCTTCTTTAATCGATATGCTATATGCAACGGCATTGTTTCCCAGTTTTGGATTAGATTTTATTCCCATTGAATACAGGTGTGGGATGGCTGTTATGCACGATTGGGAGACATTCAAAATGTAGTTTCAACAGCCTCCATGCCTTTGAAGAATTGAATTATTGTCTGCGAGAGCCTTTAAATCACCTAATTTCTCTTTGCTCATAGATTTCACGGAAAACATTGGGCTTCCCCCAGAGCTTCTTGAAGAACATACCCCTTGGCCCGCCTACGTCACATATACCTGCCCAATGGTGAAAAGACTCATCAGGAACAGCAAAGCTAGAGAACTGGAATGCATGCGAGCTTTTGAGGAAAACCAGCGAGCACTGAAGCAGAAAAAGCCATCCAGTGTCATCCAGCTGAAAGGCAAAAAGTCATCTAAGCTCTCTGGAAAAATGGTGTTCAGTGACATGAAGTCTGAGACCATGCTATCATTGTGGAGGGCTTTCTCTCTATCGACCATAGGTCCTACCGTTTTGCCAGAACCCATACACTTTCATATGGATACCAGGGAAGGTCCCACGGAAAACTATAACAAGATCATCTTCCCTCAAAAGCCTATGATGAAGATGCTTCCACACAGCTCCCTTCTGGCCAGCAAGGAAAAACATTCAAATGTTTAGCAAGGAGCCCCTGCAGCCACCCCCCAAGACTGTACATCAGTTAAGCTTCATTTGCCACAGAGTTCACGATGTCCTTTACATGTGGACTTGCCCCGCTCGTGCAGAGTTCGGCTGAGAGAGGCCAGATCAGAATGTGAGCAGTGGGTGGGTGGGCAGGTGCACCCACTCCAGCATTGCCGTCGGACGGGGCTGGGAAGCCCTGAGCTCTAGTTGCCACTATAGATGCTTGGGACCTAACTGGGGGTGAATGAGTGAGTCTTGGTCCAGGCAGGAGACAGAAGTCACAGCAGTTACAATATCAGAGATAATTTAATGTAAAGAATTACTAACCAGGGAACTGAAAAGGCAGGAAGAGAACACAAAGTTAGCAAAGGAAGTAGTGCCCGCAGGAAGCGGTTGTTCCCTCCAAGGCCAGGGGAGGGGCGGCGAGGCGCGAAGGGACCTCTTCAAAGTGAGACGTTTGGAGAAGGGGCACGTGGGCGGGGTCTGAGGGTTCTGGGCGGGAATGCTCCTCTCTGGGGCTGGTGTCTGGAGCTTTGAGGGGAGCCCCTGTGGGCATGGCACCCCTGCCTCTGAGGAGAGGCAGCTGTTTGGGCTGAGGTGGACTCTGTGAGTTCTGGGAAAGCCTGAAACTGAGCTCAGACTCTTCTGGAAGAAATTGACATTGCCTGAGTGGACAAGAAGTGTCGCTAGGGGAACCAGACAGGGAGGGGAAGCCAACAGAGATAAACAGGAAGTAAACCAAAAACGAGTTCCTTCCTCTCCTCCCGCCTTGTAGGCACCCCCGCCGCCCCCCCGCCCAGCACCCGCTATGGGCAGAGCTAAACAGGGAGGAAAGCAGGAGCGTGGTCTGCAGAAGCCCAAACCCAGCATCTCCAAGAGGAGTGCAAAAGGATGGGCTTAACCCCAGGAGTAACACAGCTGAAGAGCCATCACGCTGGGCTTCCTAGTCAGTGATCCCACCTCACTGCTCCACCTGGCACCTGAACCTGGTATTAAGATGTGTTTGCCTTGAAGAGTTTACACAGCAGAAGTGGGGGCTTGGCTGTCCCCTGCTGAGAGATGGAGGATTTTCTGTCCTGTGCTTCTTTAAGGCTTGCCTTGTGGAGCAGAGTTAGTTGTGGCTGCACCTCTCAGCTGGTTCGGACCACAGCTAGAACTTGTCCACTCAGCCTCTGAGTTGCTCCCAATTGGTCCCAAAGCAAGTCGCTAAACAACTCAGTGGCAAAGCAGACAGGCTTTGTCTTGAGACATAAGGGGCTCTGGTTATGATGGGCAGGCCCAGCTGGTCTCAGGTTTGGGTTTATCTTCCGAGCGTAGCTTTTCTTTTCTTCGGCCTCACCTGAGTTTCTGTGTTTACATTTATGAAGCAGCTATCAGGTTTCCCTCCCAGAAATGTAGAGGGTGAAATGTGCTAGTTGTGAATAATGCCATTTGAAAAAGTTGAATTCGCCCGACAAATGCACTCTCTCCTCCTCAGGGCCCTGGAATCGTGCGCACTCAGCGCTGGCCGCCATGGGCCGTGTTGGGACAGCTGCACAAACGAGGAACTCCAGGGCACTCCTGCCTTCTCAGCACTTGGCCAGAATAAATTCTTGAAAAAATATACATGGTTTCCAGCTAATCCGAGAGGGTGTATTTTGTGTGCATTGAGCATTTATAGACATGGAGGCAGCTGATAAATCCCTCCAGCAAGAATTTTTACCTCTTCTGCCCATTCATGGAAATTTAGAGCTTGAGTAGATTTATGACCATACAGCCCCATTGAGCGTTACAGTTCATAGGAATTTGGAATTATTTCTCCCAATCTCTTTGAGGGCAGTGAAGTTACAGGTTTTTTTAAAGTAAAATTTCTAAGTGCTTAATAGTTGTAGTAAAAATACAAACTCTCTAAATTTAAATGAGTGTTTTATAAATATCATTGTTTTGACTAATACAGTTCTAACCTATTAGAACAACACAGGTATAAGCCTCCTGTTCTGATGAGAGTTGGTCGGGTCTCTGACTGCAGCTCAGGCTCCTTGCCTCCTGAGGTGGTTTTAAGAAAGAAAAAGTCTGACTTTTTTGAAATGTGGGACTCTGTCGCAGCCCAGGCTGGGCTTCGGAGGCCTGGCCACACTTGCAGGAGGGCTGAGGAGGCTGCTGGGACATCGCTGCCCCGGGGAAGAAGCTGCCGGATCTGACCAGCTGAGCCCTGGGAGGGAAGACTTGGTCCCTGGGGAATGAGGGAGGACCCCGAGTAACCCGCGGGGTCTGTGGCTGAGATCTGTCTCCTGGTCCAGACCTCCTTGAGCTCCACGGAGGTGGGTCCTGTGGGTCCTATTCTGAATGGGCTCTTTTGCTGAAATCCTGAAGGCCCTGGAGTACAAATGAAAAGTTGGGAAGAGAGCTTCTCGGTGTCGCGACGCACCCGCAAGCAAGGGCCCACAGCCCTGGGCGTGGACACACAGCCACCAGGCTGGTGGAGCCCAGCGGGCACGTGGCAGCACCAGCTTGTTCATGAGAACCCGAGGGGCATCCCTGGTGCACCTGGGGCAGGCGTGGAGCCAACCCTTCCAGGGCCTGAGGCCCGTCCAGCTCGAGCCGGAGGGGCACGGAATGGAACGCGGGTTATTCCTAGTGTAACATCATCTGCCTGTCGGAGCTGGAGCAGCCTGGGCTGTCTCAGGTTACTCTGAACATACTGAACGTCCATCTCGAGAGGGAACTAACTTTCTCTGATATTCCACAGTCTCGGCCTCCTCTTATTTATCTGCTCAGCATCTGGAATTTTCTGTTTGGCAGGAGAGTTGCTTCTCTTAGTCTCCCTGCTGTAGTAGGTCCATGAAACAGTAGGGCCTGCCGTGTGGCTCTGTGACTAAGGCCCCGTCTCGACACATACCGAGTAGCTGCTTTTGAACAAATTCCTGTGCACAATAGGGTATTTACCCATTTGCAAATTCCAAAGTTGGTGTTTAAATAGTTGGTGTTTAACCTCAGTAACGTGCCCGAGCCTGCCGGTCATTTTTGCTCTGGCAGGGCTGTCCGGACATCAAACATTTCCATATTCTGCCACGTCCCTGCTGTGGCCTGGGAGCACGTCTTAAAGGAGATTAGGCTGCTTAACAGATAAGAGGCCACAGGAAAGTACTCAAGGAGGGAACTGCAAAACAGAGGTGCTGGTGTAGGTTTGCGCAGCCAAGTGCTTGGGGAGGCCAGGGACCCCTGGCTGGAGCGGGGGCTGGGGCGGGGCCCACGCTCGAGCCTGCAAGAGCACAGCGACCTGTGCAGCGTGTTCGGCATGTGCCGCTCGGCCCGTGTCAGCCCGGTCCTCGCACAGGCAGCAGGCGTGTCCGATAGACCCCCTGGCTCTGACTTTGTGACAAGAGGCTCAACACGGTATATCCTGAGCTGGGGATTTTGACCCGTGGGCCTTGAGTGGGGTCCTCAGAGGTAGCTGAGAAGTCTCATGGGACAGGGAGTGCTGCACAGGAGTCCCAAGCAGGGACCCAGGTGTGTCCCTGGAGACAAAACCAGAAGCAGGAATCTAAGCTCTGTATCACAGAGTTGATAAAACCGTGGAAGTGCTCTGGGTGATTTGTGCAGGCAGATGTCCACATCTGGATTGCGGGGGTCTTTGCAGCTACAGCTGAGTCATTCGTTCTTAGGAGCTTTAGGAACCCCCACCCTTGTGCAGCGATGGGCACGCCTTCAGAGCCTGTACTTGATGAGTGCTGGAGAAGACAGAGTGAGACACTGTGGGTGGTGGCGGACAGGGACCCGAGGTCTGCTGATTTGATGTCCTTGCACCCAGTGTGAACCTCCGACCTGGGTGTATGTTTGTCAGGTAACTAGGAAATTCTCTCTCTTTCTCCTTCACTGCCCTTACCAGGGGCCCAGAGCCTCAGATGCTACTTAGGTACTTGGAAATCCCACAAAAACATCCTAAGCCTGTAGGGCATGGCTGAGCCAAGCCTGTCCCTGGCACTGAGCATGTATGTGGGCTTCCCCTGGGGCACTAGGGGGGAGGCAGGGCCAGCAGGGCATGCAGGAGCACCTCGAGTTTAGGTGGGGCCCACTGCCACCCCATATTCTGTGCCTTGATCCTGACCGTGATTTGATTTCCACATGGGACAAGGCAGGATATACAGTGTCAGGGAAAGGACACCAGGCTCCTGGTGTAAGGACTTCTATCTCTTCTCCCAGGGCAAGTAAAAACTCCCACTCCACCTGAGGCCTTTCTAGGAAACACTGCTGGTCCCCGCCAGGCTCATGGCGCCGATTCCCGTACTCTCTAGCTTCAGTCGTTCAGCTGCGCAGAACATGCCCCTATTTTTGGTAGACAAGTGATGTGTGAAGCCACAAATTTCAGGCGCCTTTGCACCCCACCTCTGTGGGGCCATTTCTGCGTGCCTGCCAGTAGGGAGGATTCTGCGGGAGCAGGACAATGAGCACCGGAGAAGCTCACAGCTGAAGGAAGCTTGCCCCAAGGTGGCCAGGCTGTGCCCGCACCTCTGCGTGTTGGAGCTCATGTGTGTCCATCTCGCCGCCCCAGGTCACTCCCTCGCCTGCTGAGCTGGCTAACCCACCCTGAAATAAGTGAGGCCTTTGGCCCGGGGCCCAGACTCTCGAGTCCAAGGCCAGGCCACCTCCCTGCACCCAGACCCCCACCCCTCCTCCCCAGTTCCATCAGTGACCACCCCCCTGGCATAGCCTCAAGTAGGGCAGATGTGCTCAGCCTGTGGCTGCTGCTGCCCCACACGTCCCGCTGCGGTGCCTTCTGTTGTGACCTGGCCTTATTTGAAGCTCCCCTGTGGGGCAGAGTTACCTGGAGCCAATGTGCCATGTGCTGCTGGCCAGCAGAGCAAGGTGAGTTTGAAAAGTGCCCCGAGACCCGGGCAAGGTCAGTCCTGGTCATTGTTGTATCCCTAGAGCCCTGTCCTTGATCTGGCATATAGTTGGGGTTAAACTATTTACTGAGAAAATTATTTCCAACAGCAAGACCTGACTCCTAAAACACA